GTGTGTGTCCTGTGCAGGTATATATGACTGTGTGTGTCCAATCCAGGTGGATATGACTGTGTGTGTGTGTGTTTGTTCTGTGCTGGTATATATGACTGTGTGTGTATTGGGCAGGTTATATATATGTGTGTGTCCAGTGCAGGTGGATATGACTGTGTGTGTGTCCTGTGCAGGTGGATATGACTGTGTGTTTGTGTTCAGTGCATAGATAGATAGATTAGATAGATTAGATTGATTAGATTGATTAGTTAGATAGATGGATTTAATAATTTATTGATCCCCGAAGGAGAAATTCAGGTGTCCAGTAGCAGCAAAAACAAAATTGATCATTCGAAAAAGTTTAAAAGTGGTAATAATCACCAACAGCCATTCAGGTCACAACAGAAGAGATGGAGTAGCCTCTGGGTGGAGCAGGACAGGTCAAAAGGTGGAGGCTTGGTTCTGACCTTTTTCTCTGCTCTAGTCTAAAGTAAAATGCCAACAGCTTCATTAGTATTTTTCAAAAAGTTTGCATTCCTCCAGTGGATTTTCACCTGATCCGCTTAGTTCGAACCATGAATCCTCCCTGCTCTGGTCTGGTCTGGACCAGTGCAAAACCATGAACACTGTACTGCACCAAAATCTAAGGTAAAAAAAAAAAGCAATACAAATAAACAAACAAAAGCACAAAACAACAACTCTTTCAGAGCTACTTAGGACTTGTAGCCGTTTACAGCGCATTCAAAAGTACACCTGATATATGACTGTGTGTGTGTGTCCTGGGCAGGTATATAATTGTGTGTGTGCGTGTGTCCTGCACAGGTGTTTATGATCAGACAATGGGAGTTTTTCTCACACAAACACACACGCAGTCATATACACCTGTACAGGACACACACACAGTCACACGCACCTCCACAGGATACACACACAGAGTCATACCTTCCTCGTAAATAAAAAGTTAGTATTTTGTTTTGTAGATGACCAAATTCTTATTTTCCAACATAATTAGCAAATACAATTGTTAAAAATCAGACAGTGGGAGTTTTCGGACTGTTCTCACTTCGTCTCACATATTTTTAAGTGATGGGACTTGCACAATTGGTGGCCCACTAAATACTTTTACTTTGTTCCCACAGAGAAGGATATTGATCCGACTTGACCGCAGTCTAACACCATGCGTAGAACAAGGCTGACAGTTTTGGCCGTCTCAATAAAACATGGCTCTCTATCTGCTTGAGTGGCGCTGTGGAGAAGTCAGAAGCAGCATGACATAAAGTCTAAGTGAGACGTGAAGGCCCCGGCAGAGGCCCACGTCCCTGCATTTGAATAAGTGAAAACAATTGAAACAAAGAGGAGCTCGTGTGAAGGCGATGGAAAGACGGTCGAGAGATGTTTGTCTTATGAAAGTATAATGCTCTATTCATTTATTCATTTCAGAGCATGAGATTGAGTTACATCAGAAAATTCCTTTTAGTGAAATTTAGTGGTATGAACCGTGTCTTCTCCCACGTTTTTAATAGTAGCCAGCGGGACTATTCTACCACGTTTCCCCTGAGTATCAAATATCAGAGATATTCTTTCAGGAACCAGGTTTAAATGTGTTTGAAAATAAAAACGTGTTGCTATATTTTTGTAGATTTGAATATTTAATATATATTGTGAAATTGTCTTAGTTGAAAATATACATAAACAATTGATCGATTTTATTCATTTGATCAGAATCCATACATTCAGTAGTATTTACAATAATTAAATAAGAGGACCACCCTCACTCAGCCAATCAGCTCTCAGCCCAAAGAGTCAAATGTGTACTTTCTGACGAGTATGCAAATGATAACAGGTTTTCTGCTAAGATGAAGGCAGTATTTTACATTCACAAGACTCGTTTTGTTGGGACTAACAGAATTATTTAATAACAATTTAGGTACGCTAGATTAAGTCATACTGTTGTTGTCATTTCTTTGGTAGCATTAGGACAGATGGGCTGAAATGGTGTATATTTTTGTTGGATTTTGTTGTTGACGAGGGGTAATTGCTGGCAAAGATTGTGGCGCTACTCCCCACGGGCTCCGTTAGCGGCAAAGGAGATGGCTAGGCTAAATGCTAACAACTCACTCGGCCGCATTACGTAATTCACGGTAAACTCAGATCCAATCGTTTCAATCTGCAAAAGTACCACACCATACTATGGTGTGGTACGACCAGGCTAAGGCATATCTAGTTTTACAAAACATTTTATTTCCATTTTTTTTTTTTTTTTTTTATAATTTTACTAAAAATGTTTAGTGAATGGTTCTTTTGATAGTAAGTAAGTAGTAAGTAAGCTTTATTTATATACCGCCTTTCACAGACCAGAGTCACAAAGCGGTTTACAATTGTTATTTTGGGCACTTGTCCTCTCACTCCTCACAGAGATGGGAGCGGGGTCCTGTGCTGGTATATATGACTGTGTGTGTCCAGTGCTGGTATATATGACTGTGTGTTTGTGTTCAGTGCATAGATAGATAGACAGATTAGATAGATTAGATTGATTAGTTAGATAGATAGATTTAATAATTTATTGATCCCCGAAGGAGAAATTCAGGTGTCCAGTAGCAGCAAAAATAGCTGTTTGGGCGGCAGGCGATAGGTGATTGCCTGGCCTCTCTTTCTTTTACAGAATAGAACCACGGCTATTGGCTGATGTCTGCATTCTACATGTCCTTTTTTGTTTCAAAAATATTTTTGGATATAGTTAGAATGTCTTTTTTTTATCAGTATCCAACTTTCTGGAGGGGCATTTCCGTTGCGTGTTGAAAAGAAAGTTAAAACCATATTGCTGGTCATATTCTTTATTGAGACAAACGTAGTAAAGATTATAGTCCTAAATCATTCCTCAACAAGATATCTAAAGAAAACAGCCTTTTTGTCAGCTATTGTAAATTGACTAGATATTCAAAGAGGAAAAGCATCACAGCTGAGCCCTGAGTCTCCAAGATGTCTGCCCGTTCAAATCAATGCCCTGTGCTCACACCATGGACGTCCCAAACGTTAGCTAAAATAATCATGTTCTAGCCAGCTCTGGTTCTCCTGGTCTTGTGCAGTAGGTGCAGTCGTAGTCGTACTTCCTCAAGACCAGAGTAACAGGTGAGCGTTCTGACCAATCAGGGCGGAGCTGGACGAGAGCGAGCGGAGTTTATTGCACAAAAGTGGGAATTTACAAAAAATCTCGAAAGAAAAAATAGTTCAGAATGACAAGGGAGATTAAAATCTTCACAAAATCCCATCTTTATGAAAGCTATGAGTTCTTTCGCCACCATTTTAGTTCACAAAAATGTCCATGTGAATTTTGGCTGCAGCACCTTGGCCCCTTGTCTATGTGGAGACGAGTTTAAGCAGCAACAGTATTATTATCATCATATATTTATTTGACAGGGACAGAACAAGAAGCATTGTTTAAAATAACCAATGTCATGTTCATATAGGCCGTACAGCTAACAGCTAATTTGCAGACTTGGTCCCTAAGACATAAAAATACATCACATTTACAGAACATTATAAAAACACAGATTACACAGTACAAATTATTTACAATAGAATATCAGAGACTAAAGTTTAGTTCCTTTTGAACCACTGTTTAACTTTTAGGTTTAAAATCTTATCCATATGATATAATAAATCCATTATGACAGCACAGAGAGGATGCAAACGACGTCAAAAAAGTTTATAAACAAAACCTTTAGATGTCTATTTACCATCCACAACAGTCTACGGACCCAATTTTCCATCAACCCTTCATGTGACTTGCATTTTTTGACATCTTAAAATGTTGCATAACTTCAATATACCCTCCAGACTTTTCAACCAGCACACTTGTAATTAGAGGTTTCCCCAAATATTCCCCCCCTCCCCCTGCTGTGCTTTGTAATTACCAGCAAGCACCAACCGTACATCATTTTATATGGTCAAAAAGCCGACCGCCATGGCTGCCCGCTGTCACCCCCCCACGGTGGCAGATCCGGGCGGGGAATTCTCCGCCATTACTCCTGTGTGGAAATGTGCCGCTACATCCTGACACGCAGAGGGCCAAGAATGCACCAACACATGCACAACGGCTGCACCCGAATTCAGGAAGAATATGATAAGAGGCTGAGGTAGGAAAAAACACATGAGCATTTTAATTTTTGGGCTTTTTAAATTGGCAAAAAAAAAAATCCCAAAGTTACACAAGAATGAAACCACAAATCAAATGGTAACAGAACTCAATCAAACAGACACGAGACACACTTTTAAGATGGCTGATTGGACCTACAGACAAGACTATTATAATAATGATTAGTAAGAATTACGTTTATAAAGTTTTCCATACTAGAGTGCAATTCCCTCTGGTCCTGGGTTCCAATTCATTGTGACTTTCGACTTATTTTGAAAGTTGAAATATTATTTTGACACATTACCGTCTGCCCTGTGCTGAAAATCTGACACGGGCCCAAACAACACGCCAACCCACTGTTTCCGACTGTTGCATCAGGTCGACACGCCATTTCAAAACATGCAGTAGAAAAATCCTGGGGTGTAAATGACAACGTGGGTTGAGCTTTCACAGGAGGAGCTCGGAGTAGAGCCACTGCTTCTTTGTGTCGAGAGAAGCCAAGTGACAAGGAGGAGACCACGGTGAAGAGTTGGAGGGACTATTTATTTCAACTAGCTTGGTAACGCCTCAGGATTCCCCTGGATGAGCTGGAGGAAGTGTGTGTGGCTATAGCGAAGTCTGGGCATCTCGGCTCAGACTGCAGCCACCGCAACCCGGCAACGGATAAAGCGGAAGAAAATGAATGGACGGATGAATGAGCACAGTAAACCAATGCAATTCAAAGTGGAAGAGATCTCTTTGAAAGACAAGGAGACAAGGACGTCATGTTTTAGATTAATTGGGACGCAACCACTGACTTCTCACTCAATCGGAATTCCAAAAACCGGAAATTTGTAAACCAGCAACAAACCTGAACCAATTTTTTTACGCAAACCTATAGCATCAGTCACGACGCCTCATCAAAAACCGAGGCAGATTCCTCTTGGTACTGCTCAGTGGCCGCGGTGGTTTTCTCCAGATGGCGAGAGGAGATCTGACCAGAGAACATAAGTGATAAGTGCAGGCCAAAAACACATTCCTGTCTCGCCGCGAGCCACTGGAGTCCAGGCATCTGCTCCGCTCCTGGCTTCTCCTGCTATCGCTTCTCGTAAGAAGAGCTTCCACCGCACGGACACTTTTAGATTCTGATAACAGAGCGGACACAAGTAACCCTGCTGAAGTGCAATAGTGGAAAGGAATTATCTAAATCGTTTCACACAGGACGGAAAAATAAAAAAAATGTCTTTGTCTAGGATTATTGTTATTTATTTGTTGAATGATCTGGTGCTAAGATCGGGGGTACCTATGTTTTAAACCACATAGAATATAAGTATAATGTGTTTAATACAAAATCCATCTCACTAGGTTCTCACTCTCAAATCAGTTTGGTCAGTCATTTGCAGGTGTACATATTTTGGGCTCAGTCTCAAACTAGATCATGTCAGACCACTGAAGCTAAGCAGGGAAGAGCCTGGTTATGACTGTGATGGAAGACCTCTGGGAACACCAGGTTCCACGGTGGGGCGGCTGCGGCTGTAATGTGCCAAACTGTCATGGTGTCAAATAACGTCACCCACATTGTAAAGAATGAGTCTAGTGTGTGTGTGTGTGTGTGTGTGTGTGTGTGTGTGTGTGTGTGTGTGTGTGTGTGTGTGTGTGTGTGTGTGTGTGTGTGTGTGTGTGTGTGTGTGTGTGTGTGTGTGTGTGTGTGTGTGTGTGTGTGTGTGTGTGTGTGTGTGTGTGTGTGTGTGTGTGTGTGTGATCAAAGGGCAGATGGCTTGCCTCGCTTCTGTCAGTGTGCCCCAGGGCAGCTGTGGCTTAAGTAGTAGTTTATCACCAATGTGGATGGAGTGCAAGATGAATGACTTGTGAATTGTCTTAAAGTGTCAAAAAAAAGTACTATATATAATCAGGGCTGTCAACTGTCAAACGATTACATTTTTTTGTCGAGTCAATTACAGTTTAAGAATTAATTAATCGGAATTAATAACATGATTAATTAATACAATTTTTAACTAACGGCAAAATTCTGAGCATAGACTGTGAATATTAAGTGTTATTATGGGATGTATGGGCGGGACCCATAATTTTGACAGCCCTATATAAAGCCGATGCATTATAAATATAACGAGCTTTTGCAAACAATTAAGTGAAAAAGAGAGGACCACCCTCACTCAGCCACCCTGCTCTAAGTCAAAAAGTGACTAAGGAGTATGTGAAAGATTCCCTAATGTGTGACACATCAGGGCGTGGCAGAAAAAACTTTTGACAAAACTCAAAAAGACTCGGCAGAACAGATTGTACAACATCAAACTGGTGGAAAATAAACCATAAAATGTCACACTTTCACTTTTGTACTTTATCTACTTTTTCTTAATTGCAAAGAAACAAGCACGCACATACTTCCAACGTATCCTTTGTCCACCAATAAATACACCTCATACCATAAATTAATGCCACATAAATTCAAAGTCATTCCGCAGATTTGTTAGGTTTTTTTTCTCCACATATTTCCTCATAGCTCCATAGAGGCAAGCCATAACGATCTACATAAGTGCTCATTTACAAGCTAAGATCACACGATTACAATAACAGAACTCGCTTCCGACTTTCATCTCTTCATCGTGGCGAGCGCGGCACAATGATGGACACTTGAATTCCTCCGCCGTCGAACTCTGGGCTGTATATGAAAGCAGCAGCAGCAGCATCAGCAGCAGTGGCATCATGTGGGCTACAAACCAAGCGCGCCGAGACGAGATAAAGAGCGCGTCGAGGCCTTGGAGTAACAGCTCATCTTTTATTTGGCAACACTTCAAATATAGTCCGTTTACCGCGTCTAGACGAGACAGCTTTCAACGCCCCGGCACGGCGGTTCTGTTTTTTTTTCTTTCCCTTTCTTATTTTACTCACGTGTATAAAAGCTATTTACTGTAACACAAGAAGACAGACATCTCTTTTAGTTCTCCCAGTGCTGCTCTGGCTTGCAGATGAATTTGTCAGATGCCACGGTCCACCCTTCTTCCCTTTCTCTACAGCTGAATTTCTTCTTCTCTGCTCCCTTTGCTCGTTCTGAGAGTCCATTTGAAGATGCTGCGATGGCGTTTGATGGAAAAGTCTGGGAAAAATGTCAGGCATGCCAAGATCACGCCTTGGACTGCATTAAGTTTGTGAGGGAGTGAGATTTCCACACGGGTCGTACAAAGGGCCCTTAAATTCGGCACTCAGAGCGTCGAGACCACTTATGTAGACTCAAATGCGACCGCGGGCTTTTCATGTGGCTCTTCACGCTGGTTTGGCTGTTGAGGAACGCAGCGTTTAATGATGCTGCGCGCCACAGAGAACTTCCTCTACCTCAAATATTTGTGGCTTTTTGTGGTTTCTTTCCAGCAGGTGTGGTGGTGTAAAGAGAGTGAGTGTGGGTGAAGGAATCCGACTTAGACTCATGACGATAAAGTGTGTCTTGGTGTTTGAGTTTTGCCGAAATCTTAAAGGCATTTGTAGTTAGTATATGTAGTTTGTATGATGTCGTTTGATCTCATTGCCGTCATGTTGTTTTATTTTATAATTAACATTTAAAGCTACTGTATGTACCTTTTGTATCGGTGGTAGACTTATGGAAAGAATGTTCAAATCCAGATTAAAAACAGTTCTGTTTAGCTTTGCATATGACGTGTTCACTCGTTTTAATTTACTGTGGTTAAATATGCCTTGTATTGTTTCTATCATGTTTTGCTCAGCACTTTGAGTTGCCTTTTGTATAAACTGTGCTATATAAATCAATTTGCCTTGCCTTGCTTTGTCATCATTTAAGTCATGTAGCATTGGCTCAGTCAGAAGACCGGTACATTAAGCTAGGTTTTGAGAAAGGCCACTATTAACAGTACTGACCACCAGTCTGCAACTTAGCTTTGTCAATATTTTTTTAAATTGTGGACATTGAGGACAGAAATAACATTGTGCATCATCCAAAATCCCAAAATCATTCATCTCGAAGGACTTTACAAAGTTGTTGATTTGTCTGCAGCAGTTTTTTATCAGCCATTGTTCGAGTCCAGCTCTGACACACACCATTCGCAGATCGTGTTCCAGCCTGAGGAGACAGAGTCCACTGAGGCTTTTGGGGAGTGGACACCCAGGGAGGGAGGGGGTGACTGGGGCTGTGGTCCAGACCGGGAAATCAGGGGTTTAGGGTCCCATCCATGCTTCTCTACTCAGAGCTCCCTCTCCTGCAGTAGGGAGACAGTGCAAGACCTCATCACAGTGTCCAGTTTTGGCTCTACCGTCAGCCTCACAGGCCGCGTTAGAGATGTGGTTTTTCCCATAGACATCTCAGCGGAAAATTGCGATTTCGCGGTGTGAGTGTCCGTGGTGGGGCTCGGCTCTGGTGGGACAGCGAGGCCTGGCTGTGACCGGCTATGACCGGCTGTGACTGCGGCTTCTTGGGAGTGTCTGGAGTGGGTGCCATCTCCCCGTGGTCACACAGACACATCCTGGTGTTGGAAGAGAGCAGAAGGAACTGTCACGTTAAGGTTTGGAGCAGACAACGTGTGAAAAAACTGAGAAAAAGATTGTCTATGTGATCTACTCAGGCAAATGAGTAGATAAGATGCCAAGTCTCTATCTTTTTAACTGCAAACAGAATCTACATGGGAACAAATACAGTTACATTGAACCTTGAAATGTGTCCTCTGCTTTAAAATATACATTTAGCTCCAATGGTAAAACTAGAAAGATATGTACATTTATCAATACACTGCAAAATATATGACTTTTTTATGGGCCATAATGTAGTTCAAAAATATTTATTCTAAAAGCATATATGTCTGAAAAAATCACTACAAAATAGTGACCCTTGTCAGTCAATATATGACATTGAGGTTCTGTTGTAAAGTTTTAGCAGTGACCCAAAAGATCATGCATGTTAATTCTAGTGATGACTTGTTACATTAGGTTTCCCTAAAATCTGAGACAGGCTTTTAATCTGACAATATTCACATACACGTTCAAAAGAGCAAAATTTGCGAAAGTAGCAGCACTTTTCTAACCACCTGAACTCCCGAGTGCTTAAGTGCAATTGCGGAGATATCAAACCTGCTGGTTGTAGATCTGAGCGCTGCTGCAGCTGTCAAAAGCCGTACACACACTGTAAAATATAGCTGCAAAAGCAGGAATGAGGGCTACAGGAAGTCCTCTGAACCAATCACCACGAAGCACACAAGACACAAAATTGTATTCTGACTTTAAATAAAGGTACCTGTCATGTTATAGCAGTAGTTATATGATTGTTGTGAGCATGCAAAACCTATAGCATCAGCAAAATTGTACGCACAAAAATCCATAAAACAGCAAGGTGAACCATGTTATACTGAGGCACCCTTTGATGTTTTCTTTCTTGTTTCGCTGCCTTGTGTATTACTGTAACTGTGTTAAACAAATAAAACTTGCTTTTCCTACTCAACATAAGGCCCGGGGGGTAAACCAAGCCTGCCAAGCCGTCTGATCCCGCCCACTACCCATAAAATATAACGCTAACCCTTCTTTGTGTCTACAAGATTATAGCCTAAACTATTCAGATATTTTGGTTAGCCTTTTCCACACACATTTAGGAGTTGTTGTCATAACAAAGACTTAATTTGTTGTAAAAATTGGTCGCACAATGTCCACTTATCCATTGAAGATCCAGCCCTCGTGAAAATTATGTCGAAAACCCTTGTGTTAGATGATTTGAACAATGCATTTTCCATACAACCCAATAGCATTAGTTTGCAGTGTCCAATTCCACTTCCCCTCATCTTGCTTTTGCTTCCCATCATTCCCTGTCCTCTTTATCACCCCATGATGAAAGCTCTTCGCTGCTTAATGGACTGATTTTACCCTTAAACTGGTACATCCTCCAAACCTGCTCCATTCAGATGTAGATACCACAATTATCCCAATAGCTCTGAACCCCCAACGCTCCGAAACTCACCCACACCACCAACATTACAATAATAGATCCTGTGTGTTCCATTAGCCGCTGTAAGACAAAGCCGCACCAAAGGGGAGTGGGGGGGGGGTGGGGTGGCTGTCAGTTAGGTGCTTGGCATGACGCCCATTCACCACCCACATAATTCTCAAATCCAAAATATTTGACGCACGTACATATACATTGGGCTTTTTTCAGAACGCATGCAAAGTAGCGGCATGTCGTCTGTCAAGGCCCGTGGAAAAAAAAGCAGCTAATTTGCAAACATCCCAACGTGGCGCGCCGACATGCTTAATGCACGAGACTACACAGGGCAAATCAAAGGGAATTTAAATGATTGCTGATGAGTTTTGACACTCGGCACTTATGCGTGGCATCTACTGGCGAGGTTGCAGTAGTCGGGGGCAACAGATTCCCACTCAGTGTTGAATACAAAGAGGAGTGGAGTCCCCAGACAAAGAGCAAGGCAGGTCTTTATCTCATTAAAGCTAACAAGAGGCTGCTGTCTTCTTTTGGCTCGAGACGGATGCTAATCTGATACACAGAGCAGAGCGCGTTTACTGCTGTCGTCATAGGAACGTCGGCAAGCCCTGAGGCGGCATCACCTCGACGGTGGCTCCAGTCGTTACGATCTTGTGTCTCCTAAGTCGGGGGAATCCAGCTTCATGGGGTAATGTTGTTGGAAAGCATCGTGAAACCTGCAACTGTAATCCCCTGGAGGAAGAATGGACATACACAAGAGTAAAAGGGGATTTGAAGTGAATCTAACAGTCATTCTCTTGATTTACAGCTGGGGTACCTAACTTTCAATCCATAAAAATCAAACTATTAAAAAAAAATCCATATATCGAGCTCCTCACTCTCATTATAATTTGGTTCTTTTGCTTGTTTTTACATGTATTTTTGGCATTTCTCACATACTTAGATCAGATTTTTCTGACATACTAGTGAAATAGAGGACCACCCTCACTCAGCCAATCAGCTCTCAACCCAAAGCATCAAATAGTGACTCTCAGTGCTTTTTCTTGCAAATATGCAAAAGACAACAGGTTTTCAAGAAGATAAAAACAGCATGTTGTGGTACGTTTTTTTCATGACGTTTTACTTTTACAAGACTATTTCTGCTAGGACAAACGACATGTATTATTTATTGAATTAAAAAGTTAGGTCCCCAAGATTAAACTGGTAAAACAGTCTTGAAATGAGACGTTTAGTCCTGTTTCAACTATAGCTGCATTTTTCTGTCCTATTCATGCGAGAAATGGAGTCAACACACTGAAGAAGGATAAGAATCCCTATTTGGACAAGAATGTTTGTGAGGTTTTTTTCATAATCATTGTACAAATATGTCAGAGGTAACATTGAGTTGAATCGCATAAGATTAAAATTGTTAACATGCAATGACATTATTTATTAATGAATAAATCAGACGTACACCAGGGCTCCAGACTTACATTTGTGGATGGTTGCATCGATGAATCTTAGTTCTCATTCAGGTGAGTATCTCCCCATTATCACAGTTAATTAAGTGAAACAATATGGATCATATCAAATGGAGCTTGCTGTAATTTACGCTCTCCTGCCTGTGAGTGATCAAACCACAGTGTAAAAGAACCACAAACACACAAAGTTAGCCTCATGAATTCGTTTTAATATTTGGATAGATTATTAGTCGCTCTGGCCCTTCTCCAGTTTTTGCTCAAGGCCACTCACTGAACTGCAGCCTCTCCCAGACCAGGCAGGGTCTGGCGGCCCTCTTGTGTCATTATATTTGCCCCATGTCTTGCTAACACAAAGTAGTCTATGAGATCATAAACACAAGTTAATCCAGCCAACTTCAGCTCTGCCAACATATGCATGCTATATTTTGTTGTGAAGCTCAGAATCTTTGGAAGCCAGTGGTTAACTTTGTTCGACTGTACAGACATTTATTTTTGACGGCATAGCTCTAATTCTTTTTTTTATTTAAATGTTTACCTTACTTTTACTTTGTTTTATTTGTGTGTGCACTGGGGACTTTTGAAAATGTTTTCCAATGTGGTTTTACTGCATGTGGCAAATACAATAAATGTGAATCTTTTGAGTAAACATGTGTCATTCAGCCAACTTTAGCTCCTTCAAATGTGAACCAGTACAGACATGTCATACCGAATGTAAAGCTCAGAACAGCCCAATTTCAGTCAATGCATGTTGTTATGTTCCGTTGTACTTTATTGTCCCTTTAAGGAATACGTCCTGCGCATTTGACCCATCCTTCACTGGGGCATATGGCGTAGCCGCTGCACTGGGACTCATCTCCGGAGGTGTTTAGTGGTAGAAGCCGGAGCCCCCCGATGAAACCTACGCAGACACGGGGAGAACACACAAACTCCACTCAGAAAGGCCCTGTTCTGACAATGTTGGTGAAACAAAGTGGCCCTATTACTAAAAAAGTCGGCTAGTGAGTAATGTGAACACAAGCTACTCATCCTCAGCTGACAGATTTACATTAATTTATTTGCCATTTGCAGTAAAACCACATTGGAATACATCCGCAAAAGCCCCCAGTGTGCACAAGACAAGTACATAAATAAAAGTGCACACCAGAGCTCTTACTCAGCGCCATCTTCCAGGGACAGGGAACATAAAAGCTGTCACAGAAGTTGAATTCTGTGGAGATTTTTAGCATCATGTACCATTGGTTTTCTATGTTTTCAAATTGGTCAGAATTGTCACATGTTACTCTCGTTACGAAAAGCATCATGGAGGAAGCACCATGCACTGCACATCTACTGCCAGACCGGAAGGATCCATTCGTTTTTGGCAAAGATTTAATGCCTATAAAGAAATCACATACTATACAATTTGAGAGATTCAAGGCAAATTGTAGTAAAATAGTAATGAAGTGAACAAATAATAAAAGGTAAAATTTTATAAATTGGAAGTGGAATACATTTGGTTTTATTGGTTGTCTTATTTGATGAAACAGTTTATCTTTTTGATGGATGGATAGATATTGAAAATCAAACCCAATAATGACTAATTGTGATGACTGTGAATGTGCACTTTTAGATTTCTAGGCTCTTTATGTAAGAAAATAATTACATTTCGTTCGCCAACTTTATAAAGTCCTCTGAGACGACGGCTGTTGCGATTCAGGGCTACACAAAAATAAATTGAATTGATTAATTAGTGCAGGTAAGGGAAGTCAGAGGTATTTGTATTTATGCCCAACACAATTTGGTCCTCCTATGAGCCAATTACAGGGTGTCCCATTTACAACAGTGCATCAAACTAAGAAAATATGTAATGTTTTTAATGTACATTTGAAATACACTGAACTTAACGGATTACTTCTGAATGAATTACTATCACTCGTTTCTAAAGACTTGACCAAATCCGGACTCGGCCTTCCCACTGTCCTTGTGACGTCTCGGGTCTGTACCTTTAAGGCCCCTTGTAGTCACCGCGGCGCTCATTTAGTGGCGCTCATCAGTGCTTTCAAACAGTCATTAGGAGAA